ACTTCAACTTCCACAAACTTAATTACCAACTGGAACCTCAAATATATTGTTTTCAACTTCAACTCAAATTGTGTCCAAACACATACTGAAAGACCTCATCAAGCAACAGGTGAATAACGAGATAACAATGACTTGACTTAGTTATAGCTGAGCTGGATGCCGAGTGCCGCATGATTTACATTATCTCCTCAGTAAGTGAAATGCAGTCTTCTGGATAGAGCTCTACGGAATGCACTACCTAGTGAACAACTTTAGAAAACCAGCAAGGAAGCAGAAGCCAATACCTAACACCAAAACAGCATCTGAAAGTTTAACGTCGCCTATATTCAGCTAAATTTATATTTTTAGCAAACATCTTCTAAAGGGGTAAGCAAAAAGCTTTCAGCACAACCTTAAGCATCCTATAAGATCCTACTTATATCGAACTCATAGTTTTTGCAGTGACTCGGATCTATGGTTTTGGTCGTAGAAAATCTGCCAAAAACCTAAACCAAGCTGACCATATCAATCGTGTAGAAAAATTTAATTAGTTTGCTACATAGATAAAACCTCTAAAGAAGAAGAAAAAAAATATGAGAGCTTCCAGCAAAATTATTAGGTGCTAGGTGCTAATTAGAAGAAATGGATTCAGATCCCTCCAGTTTCAATTGTAGATGGAGCACGTAAACAACGGGTTCAACTGATCCCAGTATTTACACAGAGTACAGATACATATGTAAAAAACACTAAAATTAAAAAATGTTACATTTTGAACCAATAATTTAAGTATGATGAGTTCTGTGATAAAATCTAACGGTTGAACCTATCAAATTAAAATTCTAGATCTTCTCTATCCAGTTTTCCATTGCAGATTTTGATGTGCAACATGCAGAATAATTTATTTAGTTCTGCAGGTAGATAACACCTCAAAAGGAAAAAAATTACAAGAGAACTTTCCAAAAAAATTATTAGGTGCTATTTAAAAGTGATGGACCACGATCCCTCTAGTTTACCAACACAGGTTTTGATGTGCAACACGTACTGAAGCTAGAAGGGCAAAGATTTTGTTCCTTAAACTCAGCTTCTAACCTAAAGTTGAGGTCAATAAGACGTCAACTGGCAGCATGTTCAGAAGTAGCATAAAATACGGAGCCACAAATAATGTTTTGATAAGGTATGGAGCCACCAAAAATAGACGATGTTTGAAAGCTTCCTTCTGTTATATGAAGGACTTTTTTTTTTCTTCTTTGTTTTCTTTTTTGTTTTGGTTGAAAAGTTCAATTATATGAGAGAATTGAATAACTAAATCATGAGAACCACGTCTTTGGAAGATTCTTCATCCTATTTTTTGATAAAGAAGATTCTCTACTTTGCAATACAGCTTCTATGCGAAGGTATTCCCATTACAACAATCAATTATACTTTTTTTTATTGTTATACACCAATCAATTATACTTTTCATTAGAAAATCCTTTTTAGACAATATGGAGGACTAAAATGATTTGGTGATATATATCGCCCCTATAGAACAAAGTATACTACACAACCAAAAGAAAAAGTGAAACTCCACAAATCTTGGGAACGATTAGCATTTTTCCGAAAGTCTTATAATTTTATTCTAGTTTAGGGAAAAGAAACTTTTAGGATTTTTGGAACTAACTCATCACACTTTGAGCAAATAAACATTAGGAAGTAGAGGTGGACTTTCTAAATTTTAGCATGTATATACTTCTTTAATGCCATGTGCTAATATTATATTTATAGCATAATAGTTTTTTGTTGAAAAGTCAACAATTTCATTGAGGACACACCAATCAGTACATAATGTGAGTTCACATGACACCTCCAAAAGATTCATCCAATGATCTAAAAACTATAGGACATCTTGTTGTCTCACAAAATAATGAAACAAAAAGCTCTTAATTCTCTACGACAAACTTTTAACCGCTTCAAAAAGTTTTCTATTTCTTTTTTCTATAAATCAGCTAGAAGGTGCATCTAGGCAAATTTCCATAACTCTATCTTCCTAGCATCTCGTTTTCTCAATGTCTGACCCGGCAGTGCTTCCTCCACAGTCATATCCTTATATGTAAAGTCCATTCCACATCAAACATGGAATAAATTAGAGATCATATTTCTACTAGAAGCAGCAGATGGTCCACATCCTTATCCAAAAACAAACCCAACAAACTACTATCCCCTCCTCATCAAATTGTCTATCATGAGTATAGTGTTCCTATCTACACACCAAGTAAAGCAAGCCACTTTCTTTTTCTTAGGAGAATTCATCTTCCATATAGATCTTCATATGAGCCTTGAGTCATTGTTGTTATTTAGATGAACACAATATGATTCCATCGAAACTCTTCATAGATAATCCCCTTCATAACACAATCTTCTTCTCCAAATTTTTTGTAATTGTAGATCATTCACCATATTCATCACATCATCCTATTCCGACTCTTGAATGGATCTTCTATACATGTCCAAGGACACTTGGCTTCTATCTCTTTTAAGGACATCAACTATTTATCTTTTCAAAAACAAACGAGAACATCAACCAAAGTAGCATCCTTATTTGTTCTGGTCATAAATATAAATGTATGAACTCATCTTTCATAGTTGAAATCCCATTCGCACCGTCTAAGTAGCATCGATTAGATTTGCCATTCTCAGAGTGTAATGCCAATGTATCTTGAGAACTCATTCCATTCCTTCGTAGTTCCAAACTTCCAATACATAAGCTAGTCTTGTACGAGGTTATTGCTCTCCAGGAAACATCCATGTTTTACTAGTATCACCTTAACCTTCCTAATAGCTCCTCGCAGACAAATCTTAATAACAATTTCTTTAATGAAGATTTACAAAAGGTGCTTAAAGTGTTGCAATCAAGCATGTTGCAACAATTTCCAGAAAATACTTGCCGAAAAATATAAAGAATACATTTTTAATCACATTTAATAACGCCTAACTTGCAATTACAAAATCTTCATCAAAATACCATCATGGACTTACTTTTTAAAATTAAACTACACGAAAGGCTGATTTTGTGGTCGAGGAATCAGCTCACTAGTCACTATAATCTTTCCTCAACATAGTCCAATTGACAAACTCTTTTAAGTTATGCATTAGTGTTCCAGCATAACTGAGCAGTTCATAACCAGTATCGGAATTAAAAGAGTCAAAATTCAGATTATGCCATTGACCCACATGATCTGAATCTTGTAAATCACACATTAAACAACATAGAAAAGGTTAAATGATACCAAATACCAATTTCCTCTATATCCCTTCTGCTCTATTGATTTGCCTTTTAAGACAAATTACCTATACTTAAAAGAAGAAAAAAAGGACAAACGATTATGGCTTACAGTCTCAGATCGTTTGAGAAGTGGGCCTTGTAGTAAATTCCGTCCAGAACCAGAAGCCAATTGCCGTTTGATCTTCTCTAAATTTGTCTTTGTATCTGCATCTCCCTTTTAAGAAAAACCCCATTTTAGTCTTCGTTAGGAAAGTGATTTGTACGGGTATTAAATTAGGGTATAAGAAAAATTGGGCACTTACCAGAGGAGCTCCATTAGAAGCCATGGGTGGAAGGTTGGTTGAGAAATGAAGAAGAGAAATCGCAGTGGTTGTTTGAGAAAGGGTTTTGTTATTAAGAAGAAAAGGCCGAGGTGGAGCTGGAGCTGGTAGGTTTCATTTTTTTCGTCTTGGACTAGGGGTGTTCAAAGCCTATCCGAAATCGAAAACCAAATCGAACCGAACCGAAGCTTAATGGCTTACTGGTAACGACTTAACGGCTTAACGGACGGGGAACATATTAAATTNGACTAGACCTTAATTAGAAAGTTGGGAAATCTAAAGAAAAAAGGAACACACGTTTCACAAACCTTAATGATTTCAAGAGGAAGCTGTTGTCGAAGAGAAGCGCAAAGAGTAATCATTTCTTGTCATTCTTTTTTAAACCAAAGTCATGTCAAGTCTATATTTTTTTGCTTATTTTCCTTCTTCTGGTAGTACTGCTGGATTCCTAGAATCATTGATAATTTTGCTAGGCCGATAAACCGCCCGATAACCACCCGAATAGAGCTAAACCGATACCAATCCGCCTGATACCTTATCGGGCGGCTAGCGGATTAATACATTTAAAAGCCGATAACCGATAAGTCAAACCGTTAAAAGTAAATAACCGCCCAATCCGCCCGATAAGCAGCCCTATCTTGGACCTGCTGGTGAATGTTGTTATTCTTGGCTTCGTGTACGGTGTCCGCTATATGCCTTCCAGCCAAATTATATTTGGATATGTAGGTCCATTCGAGAGAAAACTGTTCCTACCAATGTTTTTTTCATACCCAATCTCGAATTCAGAGTTCAAACTAAGAATAACCTCATGTGCTATAGTACATTCTTCGGTGGTGTGGTGAATGTTATTATTCACGACTTCATTCAACAGTCTTTTATATAGGAGGTTAAAATTTGCTTTTAAGTTTATATATAAACTGAAAATATAATGATTTTTATACCATCAGCGGTCATTTGATTAATGGGATTAAGATACTAATCTCGAAATAAAATATAAAATTATATTTGCCATATTTGATTATGGGAATTTTCTTGTACCAAATTATTGATATTAGCAATCCCGCATTAAATGTGTCATAATGATCACAAGATTAAAATTTCAGAATTATTAATCTCTGGATATCGAGTTTGGAATCAAACAACCCCTTAGATTCATTAAACTAGGGCGAATTGCATAAACACTCATGTAATTTATTATAATATATTAGAAGATGAAGCGCTTAGAGAAATGTATTTGTCTTTTTTATCATTGAATAAAATAATTATTTAATTATTTTTCTAACATTTAACTATATAATAAGTAAAGGTTTGTGTACGACCACGGGTATTTCTGAAAATATCATTTACTTTATGGGCAATTTAGTAATTTTTGTCATTGCAACTTTAGATAAAACTTGGGTCAAGACTTTCTGTTCTTGCTCCAGTTTTAGTTTGCCCTATTAGCTTACATATTTTATTGCTCATGTTTCAATTTGTCTCACATTCTTGGCCTTCACTCTTTTAAGTGCGAGCTTAATAATTTGAGGAAAACACAATGTCTCTTTCTTTTTGCATTATCTGTTGGTAAGTTTATCCATCTTTGTTTAATTGTTCTATTTGAATGTGGTGCGACCTCTCTGGTTCGATGAGTTATTTGTGCAATTTTTCTTTGTTTATTCCATAATTTGGTGATTATATGTTAGTGTTCTATAGTATTGTTTTGAGTTGCTTGAATTTTTACATGCATGTCAGTAATTGCACCTAATCTGCTCATGTATTATGAAATTTGTCTTTGTTACCAACTAACTAGTCCACAATTAAGTTGCTTTTACTAAAAATTTAAGGTATCAAAAGTGTTGCTGCAAGATTGGCTCTCAGACAATTAATTGTTTCTTGTCCTTTTGGCTTCATGTTTGCTCTGTTACTGAAAGTAACTTTCATTCCTCTCCTCTTTGTATCCTTTTTTTCTTTCACAGTTTTCTCTGCTTGGGTTATGAGCTTTCCTTCTTCTCTCGAATAATTTCTGCTGAGTTCTTTTTTCAAACTTCCGATGTTTCTGTTTAGTTTCTTTAGTTACTTTAACTATTACAGTTTTCTATTTTATATTGTATATGCAAAGTTGATTATTTAAAACTAAGAAATAGGGAGATGAAATCATGTTGTTCTCTATTCCATTCTACTCGCTACCAAGTCATACAACAAAGTATTCGTGGTGATCTTCATTGGGATTCAACTGAGGTAACTCAATTAGATAAGTGTTTAATCCTTAGTTCTATTATGAATAACCTTGCGTCTCTAACAGAAATTCAGGAATTTTTGTGTATGTGATAATATCGTTCATTTATTTCTGTAGGCAGTCTGTCATAAGATCCATTCTGGTGCATCATTAAAGGTGAGTTTGTATTTTTTTTTTACTTGGACACATTTTTAGAAGTTCAAAACGAAAAAAAACTATCATTGATAGGATACTTTCAGAAACATGTCTGGTCGTACACGAACCTTTACTTATTATATAGTTAAATATGACTTCTCTATGACAATGAGAAAAGCGTGAATCTCGCTGACAACTTTAAGCATGGATAGTTGCATTAGCTTGAAATAAAGGGTAGCGAGTGTGATTAAAAGACTTTAATTGACTTTTAAGTTGATAATGCGTTGATGTTTTCATTGAATATTTCGTCTCATTTTAGTTAAGGTTTAGAAAGCCGACAATTTTTGTCTTTAGGAGTCTTGGTTTTTGTGTCTTGAAGTGTAAAATTGGTTTCTACGACATAAATATTGTAAGAAAATTTGGCAAGTTGCACAAGTGAGGGTAATCTATTATTGAAGCTTTTTTCTTGAACTTTCATTATCGAGGGACATGAGCTACTCTCCAGGATGATGCATGACCAATTTTAATGCTTTTTATTATTTTTTTGTGCGAAAGATAATATTGCATTAAACATAAATAAAGCTACTACAGAGAAGGTGATGCTTGCGCATCAAGAAGGTAGTTGTTGTCTATTTATCTATTACAAGGATTAATACTATCTATTCTAACATTGTTATCCACCATATTATCTCCATTGGAAGCAGCCGTTTGTTGATCATTGTCATAGATTACAAAAGTGTTGCGATTCATGTCCTCCTCTTGTTCCTGTTGTGTGCATGTTGTCTTCCTAAAACGAGTTTCTCCTGCCTGATTCCTTTGCAAAAAGATGCTGACAAAATCCGGTGGCTCTTCAAAAATAGATGGTTTTCCAGTAGAGGCCATGTTGCATCCCGCCTTTACTAAACCATCAACCACCTCATTCCCCTCTCTGTAGGTATATGCAATGGTAACACTATGAAGTTGGTCCATGAGGTACCTACAATCATCGAGTATATTAGTATAAATGATCTTGTCTTTTTTTAACATTGTAAGTACCTCTGATGCATCGATGTTTATTTCCAACGGGACCAAATTGTATGTGTTTGCCAATTCCAGTTCATAGAATAGAGCCTTTAGTTCTGCCTGGACGATGGTGGCATTGTCCAAATTGCCTACAAAACCTATTATCCAATTTCCATTTGAGTCGCGTATAGTTCCTCCTATACCTGCTTTCTGAATTAACGTTGATATAGCTCCATTTGTATTTAATTTGTAGTAGTTTGGTTTAGGGGGTTATCCATTTGATAGGTTGCATTATAGGGATTTTGGTTGTTGCTACCTTTGCAGCTAAATAGGTAAATTCCTGTGCATGATTAGTAATTTTTTTAATAAGTGATAGGTGTTGCAGTGTATTATTAAAATTGTGATTGCTATGATTAATCCAAATGTCCCACAATGTGTACGAAATAAAAGTTTTGCTATTTATATGGTAAGGCATGTTGTTGTACTTTGTATTAATGAGTTTCATTAACCAATCTGATGGTTGAGAGTATGTAGTTATATTGTTGATCAAGTTTGGTATACCTAATTCATTCCATATATGTTTTATGTTAGAACATTCTAAAATATATGATTAATAGTTTTCGGGTCTGTATTACAAATTTGACATCGGTCGTCTACTGTGATTCCTATATAGTGTAGGTATTTTTTTGTTGGCAACATGTTATGCATTATAAGCCAAAGGAATGTTTTTATCTTGGATGGTATTTGAATCTTCCAAATCCAATTATAAGCGAGTGTGTGTTGTTGTAAATTTAAATCCTGCTGTAACAATTGTGAATACATTGATTGGACAGTAAATTTACCATTGTTGGATAATCCCCAAGAGATAGTGTCCACTTTGTTTGTGTGGATAGGTACATTAACCCTATTGAATTCATTTTTAAAAGAGTTTGTAATGTGAAAAGGTATTTCTACCCATTTTCAATTATTATGATCTCTGTAAGTGTTAATAGTTCTCGTAGTATGTTCTAAAAGTATAGGACCATGCACTAAGGATCTAACTGTGGTGTTAGGAGCAATCCATGGCTCCGATCAGAAGTTTATTTTCAAATTTGTACCTACCTACAATTGAATGCCATTTTGGCATTTTTTCCAACCTAACATAATGTTTTTCCAAATATGAGATGAATTTTGTATTATATGTTTGTTTTTATATTTATGAATAAGTGTATTTGCCCATAGTTGATTAGGTGAATGAAATAGTCGCCATGCCAATCCTGCCAGTAGTGCCTTATTAGGCCTCCTACATTTTGGGCATGATAACTCTTTTCCAATTAACTAAATGAATCTTTCTTTTTTTGTTGAGTAGTTTTCTATAGGAAATTGCGCATGTATTGCTCTATTTTGTGAATAATATTTTTAGGAATTGCAATGTATTGCATTATGTGGTTTGCTAAACTAGAAAGTGTTGATTTAATGAGAGTAATTCGTCCTGGTAGTGATAGGAAGTGAACTTTCCAGCCTGCAAGTCTAGCCTTGAAGTTATCTAATAAAAATTGGAAATCTGATTTATTAAGTCTATTTTGAAACATTGGGAAATCTAACTATTTTCCAAATTGTTTCCCTTCATTCATACTAAAGCGGGGGAGGATATTATTTTTTTCTTCAGTAGCACAGTTATTAAAGAAAAAAGTTCTTGATTTTTGGAAGTTAATAGTTTGTCTTGATAGGTTAGTAAAGGTGTTAAGAGTATTGATGATAGGCTATAATTACGTATTTTAGTCGCTTATTACACTTAAATTTACTGCACTTTAATCGAGTTTGAGTTTTAATCGCTAATGTCTTGCACTAATTGGGGACAGGAAGGGGTGAGCCATCAAGAAGAGCTTTAATTGCATGTGATATAGTGTGTATGCCTTTCTCAGCAAGTGGGTTAAATGTACTGGACATTCATATATTGAACAAATTTGCACCGTGTAAACTACTATGGGTTGTTAGTGCAAAGAAGGATATCCTTCGGATACAATGGATACATAACTATTACATCAAAGGGCAAGATAGCATGAGGATAGATACTCCTAAACAAGCATGCTGGCTTGTTAGGAAGATTTTTGATATCAGATATTGGTTTCTGGAAAAGTATACAAGTGCTCAGTTACACAGGTGTTGATATCCAATTTTTTCTATGTATTTTTATATGCAAAATACTTTCAAAATAGTATATATGTGCATATATAAGTATGTCCAAATATTTTAGCATTTTTCTTAATTTTTAAAAGATTTTAAATCAATTTATTGCCTATTTTAACAATACAAAAACCAATAATTGTTCCTCAAATAATCATTTTGGTGATTAACTTATTTTATTCTCACATTTATACCAAAATATAGCTAAGGTAATTTTTACTCATTTTTACAAATTTATTTAGTATTTTTAAAGCTAAATTGCATATAATTACAATTTTAGCCTATTTTAAGATTTAATAGCATTTTATAATTATGAAATTAATTCCAGTATTTTTTAATTTAATATTTGGGTATTATTAATTAATTTAGTACATTTAATTTGTTTCAGAAATCATTTTACCTATATTTATAAAATAAAAGGGAAAAAGTGGCTACTTAAAATCTAGCCCTAACTATTTCAATTTTGGCCTAAAATCAGCCCCCAATTAAACCCAATTTTTTAAACGGACCAGCCCAATTCAATTTAACCCGCCCCTAACCCAACTAAAGTCTACCCGACCCAAACCCCCTCTTATCCTGGCCGTTGATCTCTGAGATCAACGGCCCCTACCCATTCTTGCCTTTTTAATCCAAACGACTACCCTAATCCCCTCATTTTCTCTTCTATCAGCCGCCTCTAAATGCTCCACTCCCTCAAACTCTCTCGAATGTTCTCAAAACCCTAATCGCCTCCTATCGTCTTCAATCTCAAAACCACCGGAATCCATGGCTTCTCAGGCCATGGAAGCCCTACACTCACCCCTCCTTACTCTTATACGCCTGGTACTTGGAGGTTCGAGGTCTGACCTCGAAGGTTTCCGCTCATATCTTCGCCGATCCAAGGTTCTACGGTCATCTTCGGCCTTGCTCCGGCGTACAATGGTGTTTTGAGCCTGGTTCTGACTTCTCCGACTCAGATCAGACCTTTTCCAAGCCTTTCTCATTTCTAGGGCTCTTCTGAAATCCTAACTCTTCGAGGTTTTCTCCGATCTTTTTAGATCTGTTATGTATCTATGCTCTACTTGAGTTTTCAAAATGATTTCCCTAACTTTTCTTTCAAAATTACTTTTCAAAGTTCTTCTTTTACGATCTAGGGTTTTTTGAAAATGCTTAAATGCCTATCTGATCTTCTTCTCCTTTCCTTTTGTATGTATTTGACGCTACTGTGTCTTTATGCTTTCCTTTTACCACACATGTTCTGTGCTTTCTATCTTTTATTTTCCTACTATGTTTCTATACCATGCGCTCACATGTTTATCTTACTATGTTTTCCTATATGTTCTTTTGCTATACTTTTCGAGTGTTCTTGTGTTCTTCTACTGTATTTCTCTACTAAGTTCTTAAGTCTCTTTATTTGCCTTCTACTGAACCTTGTTTTAAGTTTCTTCTAAAAGACCTATTTAAGCATGTTTTCCTCTACTGTTTCTTCTACTCTCATTATGCTTCGAATTTCTTCACTCTGTTTGCTTTGAAATTTCTACTGAAGTTGTTTGTTTTCTCATGAGTTTCTGAAAGAAATCTCTGAGCCTGTTTTGACTACTTGCTTCCTCATCTCTATACTTGACTTGAGGTGGAAACCCTAGAATTTGGGGGTTCTGTCGAGGTTTGGTCATGTGATTGAACTAGGGTTCTGTTTGAGAACCCTTGACTTTTTCAGACTAATCTCTGAGTTTATGAAGTAAGTTTGAACTTCTTTGTTTGCACACAATTTTGAGTTTTTTTTAAATTCTTCTACTCTAGACTCTTCTACTGATTGGCATGATAAGTTTCTCTCATGTTTAATGTGTCTGCTTGCTTTTATATGTGATAAATCTTTCTTCAAAAGGGTTTTCCAACTTGTGATTGATTCAGAATTCCTTTTAATAGGTCTAGTTGATTGTTGCTGATTTTACTTAAGTAAAACCTTTCTTCACCTTTTCTGACTGGGTTCATTCCTACAAATCTTTGGACTTCTGATTCTTGGCTGTTAATTGATTCCCTTGCCTTATTTGCAGAAACCGTGTACTGTCAAGACCTTATCCTTAAATAGACCTTTATGTATTTACCCCTATTATACTACTTTGCACAAAGTGTTTGATTAATTTCTTTCCTTAATGGGTTTATACCCGTTTGTAATCTGAATCCCTTAATTAAAGGGAAAACTTGTGTAATTGATTGACAATCAATTTTCAAACAATTCTCTTACCTTATTTCGGCTTGCCTTCTATACTATAAAAGGGCACAACCCCTTTCTCACCAGACACTTTCAACTCAACACTTTTATACTTCAGACTTCCCACCCACAATCTCAATTCTCTTCTAAACTCATCGTATTTTGACTGCCTATTTGCATTTTGGCTTTACAAGACTACTGCTTTCTTCTTACTTGTTTCTTTAAGACTGGTATGTTCTAGTTTTAGCTTCAACATCATCCCAATGTGTTTACTTATAGCCTTTACATCCATGTCTACTTTACTGTCTATGTGGAGTTAAATGTTTAACTGGCATGCTAATTTCTTTTTACCTGTTTCTGCTGTGAATCCCTGCACCCATGTTTCCTTCTATGTGCTTTGAGTTGTAGTTCAGGACATGACAATATGCAAGTTATTGTTCATGTTTGGACTTGATCCCTTGGGGGATCCTGACTCCCAAAACAATGTGTTTTAACAGGCTTGTAGGGTGTGTCAGCACTTCTCACTGCTAGGTATGCCCACTAGCCTGTCCTTACTTCTTTACCACTTCCCATTTCCCCTTTTTCAAACTCTGCACTTACACTCACTCTTACCTTCTAAGTTCTGCCCCCCTCCTGTGAGCCTTGCCTTGGGACCTTGAGTTCCTTCTGAACTTGGACACCTGAGGACTGGCCCTTCTATACTACACTATGACTTAATCCTGCACATTTGGGTGTGAGCACTGCCCGGAGTCTATTTGGGGCTCTTAGGGAACTCTGTCACATCCAAATGAGAAAAAGGCTTTGGATCCTGATCTTTGGAGTTGATTCATCACATATTTCAGACATGGAGTCTGAATTAGGCTCCCCTTGGTTGTACTGTTAATTCCTAATGTAATTTTGCTTTTCTTATTCATTCTAGGTTGTAATAATTTGTAATAACTATTGGGAGTGGCTAGTGAAAAGGGATGGGAATGACTGTATGCAAAAAGGGGTAGATATCATGCCTATAGGCTTATTAATTTATGCAGATACCATACCTATTCCCGCATTCTCATTTTTAGATAACATGCCTATATGTTTATTAATTTCTGCATCCACGTAGATATCCTGCTTATAGGTTTACTTATAGAATTCTGCACTTGCATATAGACACCATGGCTATAAGAATTCCTGCATCATATAGACATCATGTCTATAGGTTTATGCATTCATATAGATACCATGTCTTTAAGGTTTTCTGCACTTCTGCATTATATAGATACTATGTCTATAAGAAAGTTCTGCATCTCTCATATAGATACCATGCTCGTAGTTAACTAGAAATTCAAATCCTGCATATGTATCCGTCAATAGACAAACCTGTCTATAGGATTTAAATAACTAACAATATTTAGATACCATTCCCATAGGATTTCTGCACTCTTGCTACGTCTGTAAAAATGTTTAAAATCAAAAACTCCTAGAAAGCATGCCTATAGGAACTATCAACCAAATCTGAACCGCCTCACTCGTTTTAAGTTTAATCTGTCAGTAGTAACGCATTATCAACTGCAGAACTTGTATTATTCTATTAAAACTGGCAACCTTTCTGTAATCAGTTTACTTCTTTATTTCTGAAACCAGTAGATGTCATGCCTATAGGTTTCGTCTAACACCTAGGCAAGCCTTAGGATAAAAGCTATAACTGCACCAGGTTTTGTTAATTACAACCAGCGGGCAGGCCAAATTCGGACTTCTTATTAGAAAATATGTGATAAATCAGCCTGCTTTAACTTATTAAGTTTGATTAGACCTTAATCAGTACATGCAAGACATGCTAAACTATATGCTTTTCTTTGATTTAAGGAGGTCTATTTGAGCCTTTCTATCTGTTTATGTGCTTTCCCAATACTTGCTACATATATGTTTTGATTGCCGCCTTAGAATTTTGTCCTTTTAAAACTATGAAGCTTCATACCCCTTCCCTTTTAGGATTAGTAGTCCCAAGTACCTCCAGGACTGATAGGATTGGGGTGGGTAATAGCATGCAATAAGTAACGAAACCATTCCGTGCTTTAATACCTTAACGAGGTGGGAAAGGGTAGATATGGATATGATGATCACGCGATAATAACACATGTAACCCCTCGTCAAGGAGCGATTACCAGACATTGTGTGGGGTTATCCATATTATTTATAAACCTAGGACCCCCCTTCCCTTTACTTATTTATTACGTTGTTTACCTTTTAGAGTTTCAAACCGTTTTTCTAAATTTCAGCTTGCCTTTCACTTCTTTAATTTTATCTATTTGCAATCATTATGTGAAAACCCCCTCATATTTGAAACTCTTACTTGCTTACTTAAAGTCACAATTATAGCATGGTCGGGAACCACATTAGTGGATCCTGAGGGGTGCCTAATACCTTCCCTTCGGGATAATTTCAAGCCCTTACCCAATCTCTGGTTTTCTAAATCAAACTCTTCTTAGTGTCCTAATGCACTTTAATCATTAGGTGGCGACTCTTCTCTTTTAATAACCGTTAAAAGAATTGTCAATTTCATAAACCCGATTTCGTGAGAAAAAGGGTCGCGACAGCATGACGACTCTGCTGGGGAAACCCCATGTACGGTAGGCTTTTACCATTTCATGCTATTTGTGACCTTACGTTTCTTTACGTGTCTTCTTTTAATACCTTTAAGCATTTAATTCTTTCTTCTACTACGAAACTGACTTGGCTCTTTGTTTCTTTATTTTCTTTTAACGCTTTCCTTTACCGCTTTCCTTTAATACTGTTGTAAATTCTGAGAAATT